ATAGCTACACATTTTTTTCTAATATCTAACAAAAACTGCCTTGCTGCAGATTAAGCCAATTATTTCTTGACTTATCTTCAGTGGATCATCATCTTTTTTATAACAGCCCTTAACATATTTGAAGATGTTATCAGGTGGGTCTTCTTTTCTCAAGACTAAACATGTCCAGGTTTTTTAACATTTTCTTACAGGTCAGGTTTGCTGGGTTGCTGCTGTTGAAATTACTGACACTTTATCTATGGCAGTGGGTCTCAGCCTGCAGGCTGTGGGCCGCTTGCACCCCAATCACCACACAATTGCGACCCCATATGACATCCTCAGGGCCGCACAGGTAGTATATATAGTGTGTGGATGCGGCCCAAATAACACATAGAGAGCTACATATGCGGCCCACAATGGAAAGTAGGCTGAGAACCACTGATCTATGGAGAAGCAAAACCAAGTCAGACTGAAGGTTTGCCTATCATCACCCTATTAAAGAAGACAAACCTGAGTCTAGGCTCAAACCATTTTCAGGCACAGAATGCTTGGTTATGAGGTTCTTCAAAGGAAACAAAGAAATGGACAGATAGTTTTGGATTCTGAATGTCTGATGTGCTGGGGCCTACATGCTCCAAATCTACTGTGATTCTTGAATAGGCCCCAACAAATAATCAACAGTAACGTTGGTACAGTGAAGAGCAACTCTGTCTATGGGAGCTGAGGGAGCTTAACGCCTCAGAGCATGAATAGTTTTCTTCAATAAAAATATGTGGCTTATAAAAGGAAAAACATTTTATATTCTGGGCTATGCAGTCAGCATAAATCCTGCTTGTAATGGCTGGTGCTTACTGGAGGCATCACCTAGTGGATAGGCGGTCAGACCTTTAATTGCCACATCTCTACTTTCCATGCCTGGTGTCAGTCTGTCTTCTATTTATGGGCTGGGATTGACCCTGGAGTCACAACAATATGATTATATAGATTGGTATTTAATATGGCCCTGCCTCAGTGATTTGCACCGAGGCCTACTCATCTTTAATGTGGCCTATTCAATGATCTGCTCTGAGGCAGATACACATTTTTGAGGAAGACTTGTTCCTTAGCTGGAGCAATTGTCATGTCTAGAATGTGCTTTTCAGTCTGTCTTTTGCTTCAGACCTTGTTTTATAATTCCACATTGTGAATGCAAATTTTAAAAATGTGTTAATTAAAAAATAGAATATTTTCAAATACTACACAGAAAGAATGATAGAATATAATCCTGGATCTCAAAAGTCCTCCTGTTTTTGCCCAAATCTCCAAAGAATAGACTCTAAGAGATTTTTCCAGTAATCGATGCACACATTGACCCAGGGAATAGACTCAAAAGCTATAGTTTTATTCAGTTTAACATAGTATGTTTACTTTCCCCCAAAACTTAATTGATTGCTTTGATGTACTTTTAAACCATAATACAATATGACTTAACAGTAAATACAGCCATATCGACCTGTTTGAAACAGTTTATGCTTCAAAGTAAAAATAGTTTGACCAGAATCATTACAGCTTTTCTCAAAAGTGATTGTACTGGAGCTTACTGAAGGAAGTTATGTTTGGAAATGAGAACTGAGAGGATACAGTACAAGATGAATAGCCCGGAGACCAAGGTGGTTCCATCTGTAGTAAAAATGTGTGGAAAAGGTAAAGATTTGCAGAATTCTACTGCAAAAGTGGGATGTACAAGTTAACAATTATCAGGACATTAAGTCACAAGAAAAATCTATATAACAAGATTCCAAGAATGTCACTCAGTGTGTCGCTCTGAAACCTGTTATGTCTAACAAGTCAGTGTGAAATGATGGAAGCAGCTACAAGCATTTTTTTTCACAATATCACCAGGTTCAGTCATCACCAGGATTCATGGTCTGTTAGCATCAAATTTTCAAGTTCTCAGCCATTTTGACTTAACAAATTACACCCTTATGGTGTCCAGCTACAGTTAGGCATGAATCTATGACATGCCAAGAGTCTTAGACCATTGTGATATCAGAGATAACTCAACCAATCACCACCCTTCCTCTACAGTTAATTTGCATGCAACAGTTTCATTGGTTGTATGAGGGAGACTGCACAGATGGTGGATTACATGGTCCAAAAGCCACACCTGTGTGTCCAACTGCCATGCGCACAATCCAACACAAATCTACCTACACAACCTTCTGCCAGACACAAATCAATGCACTCATTCACACAACACAACCAGCATACACAGTAATTCCAAACACACATAGCCCCTCACTGCAGCACATACCCCTCATTTGCCACCTGCACAAATCTACACAACTTTCCCTGCACAGCAACATAATCAGCACACACAATAACCCCAAACATCACTCTGAAGCCTAAAATGTGTTTTGGGTCAGTGTGAAGCTATGGAAAGAACTACACATGGTTGAGAAAATATCACCAGGTTCAATCATCACTGGGATTCATAGTCTGTTACTGTCCAATTTTTAAGTTCTCAGCCCTTTTGAGTTTGACGCACTGACTTTACTAATTACACCTGGGCTGCAGCATGGGATTTTAATTACTGCCAGTGTGTAAATTGAAACAACCAATTAAAAAGTCAAAAACCATGTATATGGGACTGTCATATCTTGATGAAAAATGCATAGCTCTGTCTTGCTTCAAATATGGCAGTATCTGGGGCAGCACAAATGTAAATGTCAGTGAGATTATTTATTTATTTATTTTTAGTTCTTTGGAGTCTGACTGTCTGAGCCAAGTCCACTCACTCCCTGTATTGTTAGAAATCCACTGAAACTGTTTCATCCCAGGCTGGAACACTGATTTCTGCAGGCAGACAATTATTGCTCCCAATTATTGCTTTCTGTAGTAAGGTATGCTGTTTGTCTAGGATACAGGGTGTTGTAGTTTGGCTTTTCACTGACTCTTCCTGTGTTCTGATAGACCACACCAACATTTGTGGGTTTTATGGATATTTTCTGGGTCTCACGTTTGGGACCATTTTTATATTGTATGTCAGTGTGGCTGCTCCCAGTAGGTTTAGCTTTGCGCTACTACTGCTAATAAGAGAGACCTGGAGACCTTTGCAAATAACAGTACCATTATTAGTGCATCAGACCCAGAATGCACAATTCAAAAATTCGGTGTGCGTAAGAAATCAGAGAGGTGAGGTTCATAGGTTCTATCATGACTCTAAGAGCTAGAGTCATGTTACGGACAGTAGAAGGAGGTAAATCACTGGAGTAGTATTAGCCAGAGGCAGCAGACATCAGATGTAGGGCCTAATTTTAAGAGGTGCAGAACACCCAGAACACCAGATGTAGTCAATGGGAGCTGCAGGTGCTCAGCGTATAAGACAATCAGGCTCCGAATGGCTCTGTGTATATGGGGAATAGGGGAGAGTGAGCTCCACAGTGGCCCTTGCTAGACCATAGCTCTGCAGCTGCTTACGAGCACACAGAGGAGTGGGAAAGTCAGGCCATGGCCAAGGCCTCAGTCATGCCTGCTCTGAGGCAGACAGCGTTTCCAGCCTCACTGGTGTCCCCTCCTTGCTGGGTGCTGTGTGGGATCACTATGCGTGGGAAAGGGAAAGACTGTGCATTAAGCCTGTGGCTAATGCATAAGCCCCGTTCAGAAAATATACCTCTCATTTGATGCTCTTTCCCATCTTTTCTTAGAATATATTTCTAGACTGTGGGACAGATCCTCAGCTGGTATAGAATTATAGAATTATAGAAATATAGGACTGGAAGGGACCTTGATAGATCATCTAGTCCAGTCCCCTGCACTGAGGCAGGATTAATATTATCAAAACCATCCCTGACAAGTGTTTGTCTAATCTGTTCTTAAAAACCTCCCCTGACAGAGATTCCACACCCTCCCTAGGTAATTTGTTCTAGTGCTCAACTACCCTTACACTTACGAAGTTTTAATCTAAATTTTCCTTGCTCCAATTTAAGCCTATTACTTCTTGTCCTGTCCTCAGTGGATAAGGAAAACAATTTATCATCCTCCAATCTGTAACATTTAAATATTTGAAGACTCTTATGTTTCACCTCCGTCTTTTCCAGAGTAAACAAAACCACTTTTTTCCTTGTAGGTCATGCTTGCAAGACCTTTAATCGTTTTTGTTGCTCTCAGGTGAAGCTTCCTTGAAGTCAATGGAGCTACTCTATATTTATAGCACCTGAGGATCTGGCTCCAACTTCAGAAAGACACTGTTGACTATTTCGAAGGCTATATAATACTTAGTACTTATATGTCACTTCATTCTCCTTTACAAACATTGAATTAATCCTCACAACATCCTTGTGAGGCAGATCAGTAAATGTTATCTTCTTTGGACAGCTGAGGAAACTGAGCTACAGAGAGTCCAAATTTTTCAAACTTGGGTGCCTAAAGGTAAGGCACCTAAACTAAGGCTACATCTATGCTATAAGCCAACAGTTTGATTCCCAGTTCACGCAGACATACTCGCACAAGCTCTCATCAAGCCGGCGAACTAAAAATACTAGTGTAGCCGCGGTAGCACAGGTTCAGGCAGGTCTGTGCACATGGCAGCCAGCCCATGCTACCCTCGCTGCCCGTGCTACCATGGCTATACTATTGTTTTTAGCGTGCTAGCGCAATGAGAGCTAGCGCAAGTATGTCTGCACGAGCTGGGAATCATTCCCCTAGCTCACAGATAAATGTAGCCACGGTGCCCGGATTTTTAGAGCAGCCACAATTGTAGCTGGAATCAATGGATGTGGAGAGTGCTCAGCACCTCTAATAATTAGGCTGCTTATTTGAATGCCTAAGGTTAGGTATCCACAATTGAAAAATTGGACTAAGGGGCAAATTCTGCTTCGGTCTCTGTGGAGGGTTCCTTGGCAGGGTGGTTTGTGGCACAGGGCGGGCAGGTTACAAGAGGCTGTACAGCGTCCTTCATTCATTCTGTAGCAGAATTTGATGTACATAAAGGCTGCTCTGCTTTTATACGTACTACTGAACATTGACCTCTTCTATTGCAGGCCAAGCTTTCGTCCATCCATATGACAAGACTTCATGCATCTACCAAAACCCCATCTTCAGGCCACTTGAGGGGCTGCAAGGAATTTCAAGAGGGCCAAGATGTTAAATGCCATTGTCACACAAAGGCATGCAAAATATCCTCACCAGATGGCTCGGGATCAACAAGTCGCTCAAACTCGATCCAGGAATTTTCAGACTCCTTTGAGAAGCAACTGCATTTCAAAATCAAGCGCTCAGTTTCTTTGGTAGGTAACCACCATTACGGGTGCTTAGTCCACATAAGAAACAATGAGCCAAATTCATCCCATTGACTTCAATGGGGATATACCAAGGATGCATTTGGATTAGTGTCTTAAATGAGGGTGTTTGTACAGTAGCACAAACAGGCTTAGTTTGATAATATATTATTAGCCTGAACACCCTTAATGTCGTGCAATTCTCTATACCAGTTGTTGGTGGGATTCCAAAATAAGGCAACTAGCTGGCCTGGACTGACCATGGTGGTAAGATGTTTTAAATGGATTCTCCAGCTGTGCCAATGAAGTGTTACAATATTAAAATTGTGCTGCTTTTTATAGCTGGACAGGTAGCTGCTCATCTTAGCCCTTTTTCCCGTTGCTACTGACCTGTTTAACTATATAGAGTGTTACTCATAAGATGGCCCTTGAAGCATAGGCATTTTACTATATTTTCTATTTGCCTTGATGACACAACCAGTTACAATAGTTTCTGTCTTATAGTTCAGTTTCCTAGGATTTAACACATATTCTCCCGTCTTAACTATTCATCAAAATGGAGAGAGAATAATACATTTTAGCATTTTTTATTTCAAGGCCTTTCATAAAAGGAACACAGTCAACTTGAATCACACTGCCTGAAAAGGTTTTACTTATTGTTGCCAGTGAAACTTAAGATTACTAGAACTGAATAAACAGAGGGGAAAATATTTCTCTCTCATTTTCCAATTTGTTTTCTTTGCATTTAACAATACTTTGTGTGTAGTCCTTTTCAGCTGTTTGTGTGAGTCTTTCATACAGCAGTATGGGAGAGAAAATCTTTACAAAAAGGAGATGTGATTGTAAAACCACAAAAAAAATCGGTAGATGGACTCTGGAGCAGATCCAAAACCTGAAATGACTTTTAACTCTTGTTATTTTTTGTTTTGCTAGATTTCAAGTTGACTCTGGTCCAGCAAGGCATTTAAGCAGGTGTCTTAAGCATGAGATTTCAATAGGACTACTCCCACTCATTACATTCAGTGGGCCCACTCACATTCTTCTGGGATAGGCACCAGCTTATATAAGTTGCTGAATTCAGCCCCAAAGAGACGAGATTGGCTACCCTATCTCTTTCATAGACAAAAGCTATTTTAAAAACACTGATTAAATTTTCAAGTTGTGAACTCTTAGGGTCAGATCCTCATCTGGCATTAATTTGCAAAGCTCCACTAAAGTAAATTTGGCCACACTGGTTTACACCAGCTGATCTGTAGTTTTTAAAAAGTTGTAAAATATCCTTTAATTTGATGACTTAATATAAAGTGGAGTATGGTACATGGAGAAGAAAGGGCTGGCAGTTGGGAACAGATTCTGACTGGCTTTGAGTGGTGGGACAGAGAGGAGAGATATGTCATAAATGTCCTTCACTTTGCTTGTGCTCCCGGGCAGGAACCAGCCACAAAATCATACTCCTTCGACTCCCTGAACACAAGGACTGCTCCAGGCTCACGAAGATGACAATTATAATGAGGATGATAATTACAGAGTATAAGACTATTGTTATAACTTTATGTGCACCTTTGTAACCTCTTTTTCCCCTTTAGGGACTGCTGAGCTCAGAATTTATTTCATTTAGGACCTTGCACTGTCCCTTTTGCTTTTCTCCACATAACTATTCTGGTTTATTTATTGTTTGCAAGAGTTGCCTATGGCTAGATAGTCTGTAAGTGCACGATATGGTTTGGATAAATGTACTGCATATAATACACAAAGTTCTCACTTCTGACTGTACTTTAGAAGGAAACCAGAATGTGTGTAGATAACAGTAGTGTTGCCATGGGGTGTAACTGGGGTATACTTTGGTTCACCTTTCAGGCAGCCTGATCCTTCAAGGTGCTGCTTACATTCAAAGCCCCTTGAAGCCAGTGCAAGTTGAAGGTGTTCAGCACCTTCCAGTATTGGACGTTAGCTGTCAAAAATATGAGAGAGAATTTGAGAGTGCACTTGAACTTGGATTTCAAATTTAGCCATGAGAATTCCTATTTCTTTGAACACTATAAAAATCCTTGAGGTGGCATTCAATCCATCCCTTACACTGCAACACAGGAAACACACATGGGTGAGAGGCAATCCTATTCAACCTCCATCTTAGTGTGCTGCTTCCCTCTTGAAAGTTGCATTGATGACAGCTAATAACCTTCAGCACCTGTGTTTGGGGAGGTCTTCAGAACCAACAGAGAACATCATCAAGGCATGTGGAGGCTTCATTACAACCTGGATCAAGTGAGAGAGTAGCAAGACAGAGGCTGGGCTGAAATCCCAGGGCTCCTCCTCCCTCATGGCCTTTCAGATGGGTGATCCCACCTGTAGGTGTGCAGCATACCAAGGTTATAGGGGAACACATGTTGCACCCTCCTGGGTTTTAGGGTGACTACTCTGGGGCCATGAGTTTGAGACACTCATGTTAATGCTGATTTGGCACAGGTAGGTGACCAGCATTTTTATAATATCTTTTTGATGAAATAAATTATGAGCTTTTGTCACTCTTTGGGGGATTTGTTTCTAATTTTCTCCATTCTATTTTCCTTACAGCAACCAGAGGGCATGAAGGAGAGGAGAGAGCGCGGGAGGATGTGCAAGAGCAGATCTCACAAGAAAGAGGGAGGGAAGAGGGAGCCAAAGAAAGAGCAGGAGGAAGAAGAAAGACCAGAGATTTCTGCTGGAAAACAAAGCTAATAGCTGCCATCCTCAGGAGGCATTAAAAAGCGAGATTTCTGCATAAAAGGTTACAGTGTATTGGAGCCATTTACTGAAAGAGTAAAGTGAGTTTTGTTGTTTTGTTTTGATTAGAGGCCAGTTAGCTAAAGTAAAGTAAACCTTAATTTTTAAAATAAAATGATTACAGTGATACTTTTGAAGCTGTGTTTCTATTGTCCTCTTTTTACTTTCTCCATTATAAGCGTGACACTTGCTTTAAGGAGAGTGCGTGCCTAGTTGGATCAAGGTTTAAGTGAGCCCTGCATCATTTTAATCTGGATTTCAGTCAGATTTAGATTTATCACAGCAGTGGACATGCTCATTCAAAAGGAGAATGAACACAGATTGCAGACCCTTGCAAAATCACATGTAACCCGCTTCATTTACATTTTTGTTAAAAATTGGAAATTGAGCCCAGACTTACCAAGAGGTTTGAGAAAGAAAAACGTCACACAAACTGCCAAGTGCTGCACAGCTCTGATAGTTGGTTTGGTTTGTCTTGTAAATGAAAAATTTCTTTTTTTAACCACCCCCCAAACATTTATTGAAGCAATAAAACAAAAGGGAATACACAGCTTTCACTGAATATATCACTGGCTCTGTTTGAATCCAGGCTCTTGCTGCTGCCCCGCCCGTCCCTCCTATACCTCATTGCTTCATCCCACCATGTTTCCTTACCCTTTATTATCCCTCCGTGTTACCCTTGCTCCACCTCATCTCTCCCCACCATGCCCCCAATGTCAAGTTCCCCACCCGTGAACTAATGCATCCTCCCACTTCTGCCCCCAGGCCTCACTCATCTACCTCAATCTCTCTTGTGCTGATCCTCCCCGCCCCATTTACTGTCTCACTTACCCACTCCACAATTCCTGTGAACCCTCATTGTCTCATTTCCGACCTTATCTCTCTTATGCCCCTGTAATCCAAAGACTTCCTCAATAAAACCAGACTAACCCTCACCAATCTGTGTTCTTCAGGGAGATTGCCAAGAGAGAACATTGCTCCCACAATCCAACGAAGCAGGAATGTTCAGTGGAAGGGTAGCAGCCCTTTACCTTTACCACTTGTTCCACTTCCATGATTAGGGTCTTTGCCAAATGAAGGGAGCTGGGCTCCTGGTCTGCCTTTTCTAAGCAGGGCCTAGAGAAGCCCCATCTCCCAAAGGATGAAGTTTCCCTGTACTCAGGGGAAAGTCCCACCACATATGGGCAAGATTTCCTTCTGGGCACAGGAAAAATCTGCCCAGGTGATGGGACTTACCTCAGCAGAGGGAAAAAAAGAACTAGATAAGTTCATGGAGGATAGGTCCATCAATGGCTATTAACCAGGATGGCCAGGGATGGTGTCCCTAGCCTCTGTTTGCCAGAAGCTGGGAATGGGCGACAGGGGATGGATCACTTTATGATTATCTGTTCTGTTCATTTCCTCCGGGTCACCTGGCATTGGCCACTGTCGGAAGACAGGATACAAGGCTAGATGGACCTTTGGTCTGACCCAGTATGGCTGTTCTTATGTAACCCTCCCTATTATGGGAAGGGCTTTCCTAGGCTTTGCCTATAGAAAACAAGGACAGGATAACACTGTTAGGGAAGATGGAAGGCTAATGACAGTACAGGCAAGAGTCAAAAATTTTTTGGTTGTCCTAACTGTGATTTTCCATGATTAGCAAAAATCTTGTCACTTTAAAGCAAAGTAGAGCCTTAATTTTGAATTTCCAAACTTTTAAAAGTTTAGGTTATCTGTAAAGCTTTTCAAAAACTTAGCTCCATCTTAATTTTGTGTTTGTTTCGGAGTAGAAAAAAGGTGATTGACCTGTAGTTAGTGTCTGTTAAATGTTTTTCCTTTGTAGCAAATGTTATTAAATTAATAAACACAAATGAAAAAACTAAAGATGTGCTCATTTACAGTCGTCATTAGTGGGTTCCTTCCATGTTCAAACTGGAATTTCACACAGTCCTTCTTTCATACAAACTGCTATGCTGATGCAATTTTCTTTAACTAAAATTTAAAAATTACATTACACAACAATTTAGGATAGAAGCTGTCACAGCTACTGGGTGAGCTACGCTTTGGACCCCTTTGCAGTCCCTCTTGAGCAGTGTTTTTCAAACTTTTTTACTGGTGACCCCTTTCACATAGCTAGCCTCTGAGTGCAAATTAAAAACACTTTGTATATATTTAATACCATTATAAATGCTGGAGGCAAAGCGGGATTTGGGGTGGAGGCTGACAGCTCGCAACCCCCTGAGGGGTCCCGACCCCCAGTTTGAGAACCCTTGCTCTTGAGTGTACCCCTCAGGTGGCAGGCTTCACCTCTCTCAGGGATGGAAACCTGCAGTTCAGCCATTCTTAGACTGGTTCTCTGGGTTACAGTCCCCCCTGTTTCCCAACCATGTTAACATTACAGGGCCAGCTCTAGTCGGACCTGCAAGAAAATTCCCTCCAGGAACATGACACCAGTGGCTGATTGAAATTATTCAAAACAGCTTCTTCTTCCAAACCAACGCATTGTTTATTTGGCCAAAGGCAAATGGCAATCAGAAAAAAAGGTTAAAGGCCTATTTGTCGGGTCCAAAAGCTTAATTATGAATTGCAAATTGAAGTAGATGTGGGAAGCTGATCTGGAAAAAAACAAGTCACGTGTTCCCTCAAAATGCTCATAAACAACTAATACCGATGAACTGAGCTAGTTTTAAAGCAAAGGCCTCTATCACTGGAGCTAAAGGAGAACTAGCTAGTGGCAGGAGTAGGTGTTTTAGTTTCTCTGTGGGGCAGTCACTGAAGGGTGACATCACACATGTGTCTGTGCACATTTTAAAGCCAGTATACTACACCTCCCCTGACTCACTAGGGATAGGTAATGCTCTGTTAAAATAATCTCCTCTGCTGTGTTTCCTGACACCTGAGACTGACTGGTATACTCTCCTCTGGGAAGTGAATCCAGGGGTACACAGAGAAATTCTTCTGTAATAGGCATCTCAATAGCAGGCTCCATCTGTAACAAGATGATTTCTATGAGGACTATCAAAACTGTTTACAGTGTCACTCCCCACGGTTTTAGGTTTGTGGATGTTCAGCATCACAGCAGAGTAAAAATACCCTGATGCTTCTGATGTATTGTTTAATCAAAGCATGATTTTGAGGATGGATCAAAGTTCAGCTACATCTGTCTATAATTAAATGTGACAGTTGACAAGGACAGCATGAAACCATTGATACATTTATTTATATACTAGCAACACATTCTAAGAAAAAGGGGGAAATCTGTAACAGAAATTCAAAACCAAACAACTCAGAGCCACTAGATACATAAAAATAGAATATGAAATAAACACAGCAAAAGAAAAAACTAATATTAAATATGCAAACATACAAATTAATACATTTTGCATTTGTTCTCAGATGTATGAAATAATACTGATGGACGCCCATGCCAGGCTCTGGGTGCTCTCAATGCACACATACTGCATACAGTCTCTAGATATATTCATATAGACTGCCTAAAATTATCCACTAAGAAAACCAGTCATAATCACAGGATATGCAATTATCCCATCATCCACCAAAGCCCTGGAAAATAGATAGGCCTTGTAGCATGTCCAGAAGAATAATACATCCAGGATTGGGTGGACTAAGCTCAGAAGTGAATTCAAGAGTCAAGGAACCTTCACAGAGAATCAGTTCCCTTTTTGTAACACTGTGGCCTTGTCTACACTATGGGGGGAGATCGAGATAAGTTACACAACTTCAGGTACGTGAATAAAGCAGCTGAAGTCGACGTACTTAGATCTACTTACCGCAGGGTCCACACACTTAGCTATGTCGACGGGAGCTGCTCTCCCATCAACTCCCCTTGCACCTCTCATTCAGGTGAGGTACAGGAGTCGACTGCGATCTGCAGTCAATTTAGCAGGTCCTCACTAGACCCGTTAAATCGACCACCAATGTATTGATCGCCGTGTGTCGATCCCCGGGTAAGTGTAGAGAAGCTCTGAGGCAGTTCCAGCTTACTCTCTATTTAAATAAATGAGGGAATAAACTCACTCATTGAAGCACGCATCACTAAGGATCTGATTTTCATTTACAGTAAGGTTGTTTTACACTGCTTTGGTTATTTACACCCACTTTAAGGCCTTTTAACGCTGCCAGGTGCTTAATTTGTAATAAAAGAGGTGCCGGGGCTCAAGCAATTAGGCACTGGGGCTAAGGCAATTTTTTTTACTTATATAACTGATGTGGCAAGCCCAGAGGTGCCGGGGCTGTGAACTCCCAAGCCCAGAGGTGCTGGGGCTGTGAACTCCCAAGCCCAGAGGTGCCGGGGCTGTGAACTGCCAAGCCAAGAGATGCTGGGGCTCAGTCCTGGCAAGCCCTGGCACAAATCAAGCACTGACACTGCCAGAGTGATATAAAGTGACTTTAGGCAAAGAAGAATCAGACCAAAAGTGTGACCTAGCGTAACACAGTCCATCTGGCTCTTTCCCTTCTCACAGACCTTCCTTTGCTAGTCTATAGGAGGATGTACCCACTCTGTGGAACTGATGGGCCAGACTCCACTCTTCCTGCAAGGAAGATCTCTCTGAATCCAGGGCGCCAATCATAAGCCCAGAATGACCCCTCCTGAGCTGTAGGCAAACACAGCTTCCCTCAGCAGTGTCTTGTCACAGTAGCCATGCAGAGAATAGCCAGGAAGAAGTTGTAAAGGGTGGATCATAGCTTTATCCACAAGCAGCTAATATGTTTTGAAACATGACTGTCCTTGTCCATGCTAATGGCACAATTGTGCTTAACATCATGCTGTTTAAATTTGGTTAGTTAACATATTTACTAAAATGATGCATTTTCTAGGTGTATACAAGGCCTTGAAGACAAGACATAGGTGAGGAATGTAAGACAGTTGTACTCCGCAGCAAGGCTATGGAGATCCTCCAGTCCTTCCCACATAGCATGGGGGACCCTAAGCTAACTGAGTTTATTCTACTCATGGGGCTGAAGTATGAATCAAAGAGGAGCTCTGCTTCTGCTCTGCAGACCACAGGGAAGGATTCCTGGATGTCTTTCCCTCATACACTTCACCAATGCCTGGCCAAGTTATTCAGGCTGGGTCCTAAGCACAGAATTTGGTCCTTAGGAGATAAATCTGCTCACAGATCTACACAGCAAATCTCAGTTGATTTTCTGCGCTCCCTGGATGTGCAGAATGCCAGTAAAAGGGCTGCCATGATGGTCTTAAACCTGGTAGAGCTGCTCCCTGGAGGCTTTCTCATATGGAGATCCTGGGATAGCAGAAAGCAGCCCTTAATGGTTTCTACAACTGACAGGAGGGAACCAGCCTAATTAAGGGCAGCTGCAGGATTGGGGTGGTGTGCAAAGGCCATCTTTGTGTCCCTCTCCTCAGCTCTGACAAGTGCTACTCATCCACAGTTGTGGACCTGGCCATTTAAATTAACAGATTTCTTTATGCATGGGATAAATTCAATCCCAGATCAATAGAACTCAGATCTCAGCTGTAAGGTAAGTAAACATATGTAAAGCCACTCTTTGGTCTGCTAACTTATCCGATACAATCCAGTTACTCAACCACAAGTAGTTCTGGGTTGGAGTCATCCTATGACTGACAGTGATTTATGTTCCTTTGAAGGATGAAGATTCGGATCCATGTGTTATTTGTCATGATGATCTTGATACTGGCAGTATAATAGAACTTCACTGCATGCACAGCTTTCACAAAGAGGTACTGCAAGAAACTTGAGGGGCCCTATTTCCCGTCAGTTACTGTTTACTTGGAAGAGGAAGGATTCCATATATGACCTTCCATGACAGCAACTAGACTTTGACTGAGCCCCTTATGCTGGTAGTTGAGATGGGGCAGTGGGGAGGTGGGGGGTGTAGAAGCTGCTGCACTACTTGATGCTCCTCCTACACGGGATGAATTCCCCAGTGCCCAGCTAAGCTGCCTCCATGACAGCTTTGTACTAGAGGAGAGTAACAAAAACTGCCCTAATGCAAGGCTGGATCAGAACCTCTGTATCCAGTGTGTATTTGTTCCTGATATCAATTGGTTGAAAAAGAATGGAATCTGGATGTCTCCGCGGAATTGATACTGGGATAGATATAAGAAGGTTTAACTTCTAGGCTCTAGTTCAAATCTGGCCCAGGACAGAAGTGGCCAAGCATTGCTATAAATGTTTGATGCTTGGAGTGAAAGAGTTTGGTGGGTTTGGTACAATCTTCAGTGGACAGCTGATCACATGGCAACAACCAGTAGCAAAAATGGCACTCTTATTGGCACACTCAGCAAAGTGACCAAGGATCAAATTAGCCATAGAAAATGTATCATGTCCCTAGAAATGATCTCCCAAGGTGATGCTTTAGGCGTAATGGTTGGGAAGCTTGATACTGCTGCTTATATTATACCTCTTCTGTGGATAAACACAGGACCTTAGTCTCAAGAACTGTCAATCTAGCACTAAATTAACTAACTAACTAACTAAATAAATAAAGAGAGAAGAGAGAGAGAGAGAGAGAGAGAGAGAGAGAGAGAGAGAGATCTTATACTCCTGAAAAATTAAAATTGGATCTGATCCTGATCCTATTGAAGTCATTTCAATGAAAGCAGAATTGAGTCCAATAACAGCACACATAGAGGAACTCATGGAGAATGGGTGAGATCATGGAGGACCGGAGAAGGGGACCCGGGGAATTATAGACCAGTCAGTATAACTTCGATAACTGGAAAGATACTGGAAAAAAATATTAAACAAACAATTTGTAAACACCTTGAGGATAATACGGTTGCAAGGGATAGCCAACATGGATTTGTCAAGAATAAATCATGCCAAATAAACCTTATTTCCTTCTTTGATAGGGTTACTGGCCTAGTGCATGGGGGGGAGCAGTAGCCAGAATATATCTTGATTTTAATAATGCTTTTGACACAATCCCACCTGACATTCTCATAAGCAAACTATGGAAATGTGATCTAGATTAAATTACTATAAAGTGGTTGAACAACTGGTTGAAAGACCCTACTCAAAGAGTAGTTATTGATGGTTCACTGTCAAGCAGGGAGGATGTATCTAGTAGGGTCCTGCAGGGGTGAGTCCTGGGTCCAATGCTATTCAATATTTTCGTGAATGACTTGGATAATGGAGTGGATAATATGCTTATAAAATTTGCAAGATGACATCAAGTTGGGAGGAGTTGCATGCACTTTGGAGGACAAGATTAGAATTCAAAATGATCTTGAGAAATTGGAGAATTGGTCTGAAATCAAGTAGACAAAATTCAACAAAGTTAAGTGTAAAGTACCACACTTAGGAAGGAAAAATCAAATGCACAACTACAAAATGGGGAATAACTGGATAGGTGATAGTACTGTTGGGGATTATAGCAGATGTCAAACTGAACATGGTTCAACAATGTGATGCTGTTGCAAAAAAGGCTAATATCATTCTGGGGTGTACTGACAGGAGTGTCATATGTAAGATATAGAAAATAATTGTCTCATTCTACTAGGCACTGGTGAGGCCTCAGCTGGAGTATTGTGTCCAAGTCTGTCTGTCACACTTTAGGAAAGATGTGCATAAATTGAAGAGAATCCAGCGGAGAGCAAGAAAAATGTTAAAAGATTTAAAAAACCTCACTTCTGAGGGAACGTTAAAAAAACTGGGCATGTTTAGTTTTGAGAAAAGAAAACTGAGAGGGGATCCTGATAGCAGTCTTCAAATATGTTAAGCGCTGTTGTAAAGAGGACAGTGATAAATTGTTCTCCATGTCCACTAAAGATAGGACTTAATCTGCAGCAAGAGAGATAGATATTAGATATTAGGAAAAACTTTCTAACTATAAGGATAGTTAAACTCTGGAATAGGCTTCCAAAAGAGATTGTGGAATCCCCATCACTGGAGGTTTTTAAGAACAGGTTGGACAAATACCTGTCAGGGACGGTCTAGGTTTAGTTGGTCCTGCCTTATTGCAGGGGCTGGACTTGATAAACTCTTGAGGTCTCTTCCAGACCTGTATTCTATGATTCACTGAATACATGGGTTTTTATGCTGCATTTTAAAAAAAGGTTAGATTAAAGCTTTGGTCATATATGGGAATTTACCAATCATCCCTCTCAAAAATCCTGGTAGTTGACTGTCAGTGCAACAAGTTTGGATTGCTAACTTTCTTTTCCCCATATTCTTTTCCTCCAACAGTGTATCGAAAAGTGGCTGCTAAAGAAACCAACCTGCCCAACTTGTCGCATCCATGTGCTCATGTCAAAGTCTATCTTAGACCTTCATCAACCAGGATGAAAAGAGAGCTCAGAAGGACTCCATAGAGGACTCATTACAAAGCTCCATTTCACTTAGAGAAGAAAAAACAAAAAAGAATGGTCATGCCTTAGATCACAGGGTACAAGGTAGTTATAACAAGTATAGCTTTTTTTAATGTTAGAAATCAACTTTAAAGATCAAAAATAACTAAATGAAAACCAACTAACACATTCTGCCTGTGCATGCCACTGCAACATGCCAATGTTTGTGGGAAAAGAGTGAAAAAATATTTGTTTTTACCATTGTACAGACAACTGTAAATAAAAATCACATATTTGCTACAAAAAGAAATAATTGAATGGTGAATTTCACTCATTTTTGTTAAATAGCTGGATGATACGATTATTGTGCAATAGAGGGAACTTTTTAGTCCATATTGAGAGAATTAAGTGATACACTGGCATGAAGTTAAAAATTAATTACAGTGCCACTGAGAGACTCTGGATTGACAGATATTACAATGAAAGCTGGAGCAGTGATGCTGTAATCTTCCCTTTTCCTCTAAACTTTCCCTACACTATTCTTTTTAATCTCACTGTATTAATCCTATTCATCTTTTGGGTTCTAGGTTCCCATGCCTGTTATGAAAGTCAGTTGACTAGTTGGTTGATCAGATCGTAGCACCCTGGACCTGTTGAAGGACTAATTTAAAAAAAAAATTGCTTATGCAAAAGACAGTTCAAGAAGACATATCAACCGAATGTAATCCCACTAGCAGTGTTTAAATTATGGCAGATGTAGTGATACAAAATGAGAAAGGGCAGGAAATGATTGCAATTATAATCATACGCAATTCAAATCTAAGGCTGATTCTCATCTCATGTATCCCATAAAGTCAAATTATGCCCTTGAATGTGCATGCAGGAGTCTCACTGGTGTGGATGGGAGCAGCACATGTGTCACAGGGCAGAATTTGGTCTGTTGCTTAGGGATTGCAGCATATATTGAGTTGGTCAATAGGGGATATTGCTGGTATGACTAGAACTGCCCTCCATCTATATTCTCTAGTCACTAAATCATTATGTGAAGCAATTCCCAAGCTATACATCAAATCCCATAGGCCAAATTCTTCCATATCATCACTGATAGATTTGAAATATGGCATTCCCCAAGAATCAGCCCTATTTTCCATGTTGTTTAATGTACTCTCTATATGAGGCCTTCTGGGAAGATTGTTCCTAGACACAGGGCAGAACATCATCAGGAGATTGATAGTATACATCTTGTCCAGACTCTGAAAGAATCTTTGAAAGGGTACACAAATGGTGTCTGATCCTAGAGGTATCTTATTGAGAATAGGGAATATTTCTTTTTCGAGATAACAGGTTTTCTTCAACAAATACAGAAGAACCTCAATTTTATGAACACCAATCATAAACAATTTTTCCAGACAGGAAAAAAAAATCACAAAACAAAAGTTATGTTGATGAAGAATAAGTCAACATCCCTTCACATTCCTATGCCCTCAGTGCATTAAACATCGCATTGCCATGGTTTGAAGGACAAGAAGAAAGTGAGGCATGCACCACACTGCAACTTATGCACCATACTTTTTGTAATCTTGAGATGTTCAATTTTATAAACGTTTTGATTTTATGAACTCTTCAGTCCCCAATTTGTTTATAAAATAGGGGTTCTATTGTACATCTTCAGAAGCAGTTGTTTCTTAAAGCCATATGCCTTAGCAACACCTTTAAGAAAGAAGAACATTTTCCTACCTGACGATCTAAGTTGAGTATCTGTTGCTTAGTAGATTTATCCATGATTTGTATGAGAGGCTCACAGTTCTTCTTGTCTTATCAGTCAGGTAGATGGACATTTGGAACTCTGATTTCACTCCACCATCATTTACAGAAAAACTTCATCGCTCATGGTCTCTGGTCAAAATATCCTCTCTTAAGAACTAAACACAACAGTCTATTTGTTGTTGTTGTTGTTGTTGTTGTTCTCTAAAAATACAATAGTTGAAAATCAGAAAAGCTCTTCATAAATTTCAAAACATCTCCATTTATGAGAATATGAGAATGAACTTCCACTCCCTTGCTTAGTCTGTCGCCATTAATATATTTCAGAGAAAATCTTGGGAAATTAAGTTACACTGCACATTAGAACCTTGATTCTGCAAACTCTTGGACACATTCTTAACTTTACTACCTTGAGTAGTTCCTGTGAGTAACTGTTTGCAGGACTGGGGCCTATGCTAATATTTTTTTCTGTCAAATAAAGTAACAAATCTCTTAAGCAACAAATAGGAGCAAATGGGCAGGTAATTCAGTTAACTTTCTTAAAAGACATAATTTAAAAAAGAAATTAGCAACATGGAAATCAAAATAAAACAAAAATGGTGGAATAAATTTGATAATGCATCTTTACTTATTTCAGATAGTTTACAGAAGGAGTGTTACCTGGGAATTGGAGCAGGGACTGAGCATCAGGAGTCATGGCTTTTATTCCTAGCTCTGCCACTGACCAGCTGAATGACTTTGGTCTGGTCATTTAATCTCTCTGGGCCTATTTAGACAATCTGTAAAATGAGCACTAGTCATTACCTGTTATTCCAGGGCATTGCAAGGCTTAAAATTCCATCACCAAACTTTGTTAACCAGAAGACATGCTGAAAAAACTAAGCTGTTATAGCACCAGTGATAAAGCTCAGAGGGTGTTGCATCGGCTGGATTGTTTCATCATTGGTGATGTCATAAGACAATGAAGTTCATTCTTCTCTGTAGTATGGCTATAGATATTTCTTTACTGGTAGAAAAATTTATTTCTTTTATATTGTTAGATGTAGAAAACCCAATTTTGTCCTTAGATGCAGAAATGCAACTTCGGAAGCAGTAGTTCCCAAAAAGTTGGTCTATCCCCTTTCCTTTAAGAAAGAGGATCATTTTTTACCCAAGTTGTGTCACTGAGCAGGTGCATCCATCCATAGTAGAGGGTCACAGTATGAGTGGACTGTAGACAAAGTGAATAACTTGTGTGCTTATTTCCTTGCTTTTGACAGTGAGCATTGGTGGGATATGCAGCCAAGCCACATTAACTTATACTGAATGGATGTTTTTTGGGGTTTTTTTGAAGGGGGGGGCGGGGATTTCTCAATTTTCTTAATAAGTATCTACGTTGACAATTATTCATATGGAACAGCTGTCAACATTGAAATAGATAAGATTAGATACCCCATACATCTCTCAAGCTCCCTCTCTGCTTTGCCTGCTGGGACCCTACACACTTGTACTACTACTCCAATTGCCTCCATGTTTCCCTGCACAATCCTGCTTCCCTTATCTTCCTAATTTTTTCACTTCAAAACATGCTCCCACCATAGGTCCTACCATTCCTCCTATTTCCCTGCCATGCTGTATTCTTAAACTGCTGCTTAAACTCCTGAATTTTAGTTACCTAATACAGTATTTTCCTGTGTATCCCTGTGTACATGAATCGGTGTTGATACATACTAACACAGAGACAGAGGGAAATGCTGAAACAACTAAATTTACAAAGGGGGGTATATAGTAGAGAGAAGGAACTGTGTGGAGGATGGACAGTAATATGCTGGCAGTGTGCCTAACATACCCATCCTGTCAGCAGTGACTTTAATTCTGGAAAAGAAAGAGTTAAGTGAGTTAGCCATTGACTCGCTGTTGCAGAATAAACTGAGACTTGGATAGACTGGCCTGCTTTCAGGAGATAATCTGTTGCAAACACCAGCTCTGTTTTGGTTGGGAGGAAGTTGAAGTGTGACTGAGCCTGGGGAGCAGGCTTGGCTGGAGAGATCCTGTGAGGAACCCAGGTCTTAGGGTGGCCTGTCTGAGGGAAATGGTTCCAGTGAGGTCAGAATCAAGGAGAGATAAATATGTGAGAGGTTGCGATGTCCAGTGTGAACAGAGGAGAACCTGTGAGGAATGACTTTGGGTACGGCTTGTTTGAAGTGTGGTGGGTGTGATGGGTTGGATCACAGAAAACCCCTTGGGAACTGCCAACTGATGTGTTGAGACTACTTCTGAGCCGTTTCCCCTGCCAGCTTGGGACTTCAGAACACTGCCTGGTTTGAGCCAGGCACGCTAGCCTGCTGCAAACTCAGGCCCAGGTCTGAACAACGTCCCCCCAAACTACAGGCTTAACTGAAAACAGCTTAAGAGATGTTCCTATCTCCAACACTCAGATGCCCAACTCCCAATGGGGTCCAAACCCCAAATAAAACCGTTTTACCCTGTATAAAGCTTATACAGGGTAAACTCATAAATTGTTCGCCCTCTATAACACTGATAGATATGCACAGCTGTTCCTCCCCTACCCCTCCCCCCCCCGTAGTAATACATACTCTGGATTAATTAATAAGTAAAAAGTAATTTTATTAAATACAGGAAGTAGGATTTAAGTGGTTCCAAGTAATAACAGACAGAACAAAGTGAATTACCAAGCAAAATAAAATAAAACACGTAAGCCTATGCCTAATACAGTAAGAAACTGAATACAGATAAAATCTCACTCTCAGACATGTTCCAATAAGCCTCTTTTACAGACTAGCCTCCTTCTAGTCTGGGTCCAGCAATCACTCACACCCCCGTGGTTACTGTCCTTTGTTCCAGTTTCTTTCAGGGATCCTTTAGGGGTGGAGAGGCTATCTCTTGAGCCAGCTGAAGACAAAATGGAGGGGTCTCCCAGGGGTTTAAATAGACTTTCTCTTGTGGGTGGACACCCTTCCCTCCCCCTGTGTAGAATCCCAGCTACAAGATGGAGTTTTGGAGTCAAAGAAGCTGCCCAAATGCCTTACTAAATTACTTAAAATCAAACAAGTACGCAGCCAATATTCATAACTTTGAATACAAAAATTACACATGCATACAAATAGGATGAATAGATTCAGTAGATCATAACCTTTACATAGATATGTTACATGGCATATGTAGCATAAAACATTCCAGTTATGTCATAGATACATTCATAAGCATATTTCCATAAAGCATTACAGGGTGCACTGTCACACCCGCCTCCTGAACTTACTGCCAGAAGCTTGGACACTGTCCATGGCGGAGGCAGTATACCTAAAATTCCTCTTTTCTGGACAAGGCATCTGCTACCCAGTTCTCCTTTCCTTTAATATGCATAATCTTCATGTCAAATTTCTGAAGGACCAGGCTCCAGCGTAACAGTTTGGAGTTTGTGCCCTTAGTCCGGTGAAGCCATACCAAAGGTGAATGGTCAGTTAGAATTCTGAACTTCCTATTGAAGAGGTAAGGCCTTAGTTGATGGCCCACACGATGGCATAGCACTCCTTCTCTATGACAGAG